TTTTAACCGCCGCCTGGTTAGCTCAATTGGGAGAGCGCCGGACTGCTGTGCGGGAGGTCGAGAGTTCAATACCGGCCGGACCAACACTCAGGGTCTTAAAATTAACTGAGAAGAATATGCTTCCTTTCTTTAACATCAAGAAATGGTTAGATATTCTAGTCTTCTCGGATAGGGACGAATAAATGGAGGTCCCGTCTCCTGCAGGGTTAGGGGCAGGAGACGTTAATTTCCCACGCACGAGATTACTGTGTGATGGATGTCCTCCCCTGGGGTGGGATGGGTGGGTAACAGGACCCCCGTTGATACCAGTGTTTACTACACTGAAGGGGCTATCCTGTATAAATATAGATGTCTGTCTGTCTGTCTGTCTGTCTGTCTACTTCAACTTAGTGAAGGGGGGTATTTAGAACTTCTTCTTTTTCCTTTTTGTTGGAAATTGTAATAGCCAATTGTAAGTTCACAACTTTTAAATTTTGATTATGAAACCCTAGAGTTTCCCATTTACTATCCCATCATGCATCCCTGCTCTCCTGATTTAAGTGAAATTCTCTAATGAGCACAAGGTTACAAGTTGCAAGTTACTTTGCTAGTGGCTATGTATACAATAAAATATTTTGAACAAAATTTCTGCGAGAAGAAAACAAAATCTTTCATCTTTTTCCCCTTATTCTCATTGTTAAGTTCTCATGGGCTTTCTTCATACTGCAAAATTCTTCAATAAAACTTCCACTGACTCATTAGTTTGTTCTTAAGTATTCTCGAGCTTCAATGGCCTAATTGGTCTCACATAAGGAGTCACAAAAGGAGACAAAAACTATGGTCCTTTGTTACTCAAGTCTAACAGATGCTTACATACATTTCCCCTTTACCCTTCATCAGAGTTAGTACCCTGTGAAAATTGGACTGTATGAAAAAATTTCCTTGCTGGTTTTTCAACAGGGTTTGACAAGGGTTCTGATTTGATTCAAATTCATCATGTCAATGAGGACACAAGGGGCACTACTAGTAGCAGTCAGTTTGGGCAGACCAGTAGCAGTCAGTTTGAACAGGAATCCCTAGATCAAGACAACTTTTCACACTTTAATTCCTCAGAGTGACTGGCTTCTAATTTCTCCTAACAGTATGACTCTTGAATCAAATGTAAACAGGGTTAAAAATTAAAACAAAATTCTTGATTGCAATTTGCGAGTGATTCTTAAAATTTAGCCACAAGTTTAAAAATTTTAGTTGAAAAAGTAACCTACTTATACAGGAACCGGAAATTAGAAACGAAGATTTCCTAGAAATTTCATGAGCATTACATGATTTAGTTTCTGAAAAAGTGGGCCTGTGATACGTTTCTCAGTAAGAAATCAATGATTAAAGTCACAAAACATTTAACTTGAATTTCGCAGGATTTTTCGGATAAAACTACAGTAACCAGTAACAAGAACGACACAAGGCTGTTAAATGATTTATTCCTAAGCTAGGCTGTAAAACAGTCACAAAATCACTATCAATGGAGAAGTTTTAGTTGCAAAAGTGAAATCTTTAATTGCAAATGCACCTGATACAGGTGCAATTTCAAGACCTGCTAAATGTCATGAGAATAAAGAGAGTGGTCACCAATTTAAGAAGCTCCTGTGTGTCAAATGAAAATCTCAATTTTATTACCATGGGGAATATGAAACATAAAACAGTATATGGGAATATAAATACCGAGAGTGAAGGGTCAAAGGGAGACCTCTGAAACCATACTTATCAACCCTTCAATAGAAAAAAATAATAATTCAGTTCTGATTTACAAAGCTGACTGTTCCACAAGTTTCTTTCCATTTTAACAAAAACTAAAACAACAAATATGTTACACACAAAGATATATTCTGTGATTGTTTACTTTTTAAATTTATTTCTATCATGTACTTTATATGAAGAGCTCGTGAGCGTGTGAATTTGAAAATGTTACATGAAATCCAACAGTATAACTTTGGCCTCTCAAACATTCTCCCTTCTAAATTTGAAGATTTCAATGAGAGCTAGATCATTTCTGTTCTTGCATTCATTCATCTTAGGATTATTTTGAGAATTAGAAAGTATTTAACCCGCGAAACCACTGAAATGGTTGTTCATGCTTTTGTCACCCCTAAACTTGACTATTGTAACTCTCTACTTTATGGACTTCCTAAGTTCCTCATTGCTAAATTACAGTCTCTTCAGAACTCTGCTGCACATCCAGTTTGTATGACCAGGAAGTTCGATCATATTACTCCGACTTTAATTGATCTGCATTGGCTTCCCATTAGGCATCGTATTGTTTTCAAGATTCTTCTTTTAGTTTATAAATCTCTTAATGGTAAGGCCCCATTGTATTTGTCTAATCTTTTAACTTATCGTAGGAGCTCTTATTCTTTGCGATCTGTTAGTAATGGTGACCTTGTAGAGCCATCTTCAAAAATGCGAACTTGTGGAGATCAATTGTTTGCAGTATGTGCTCCTAGAATGTGGAACTCTTTGCCTCTTTCAGTACATAGGAGTTCTTCTGTTGACATTTTAAAAGTGTTTTGAAAACTTATCTTTTTAAAATGTTTGTTAGCGAATGTTAGTAAATGTAGTTTGTTTATAATTTATTTTTATTTGTTGTAAAGCGTCACAGGTAATTTATTGGAGTAGTGCGCTATAGAAATACTCTTTATTATTATTCAATCTTTTTACTTCACATATAACTTAGAGATGTGTTCAATGAGGACATAATCTGATTTTCTTCCCAAATCATCTCATGAAATAAGATGTCAACTGCTTATGCCTTCATCTAATACATATTCTATGATACAAAACAATTCTGCAAAAACATTATTTTGTTCTCCTTCTAAAGGAAACCTCAAATAATGTAGTTTTCATAAGGACAGTCTCTGTCATCTGAACACCTTGAAAATAACTTAAAATAAACAAATGCAATTCACCAAATGCTTGAGGTTTCCAAAAGTAAAGAGGATAAACAGTTGATTCTCAAAGCATATTCTTAGACTCTACATTAACTCTTAAGAATCTATTGTGATGTATTGTTCAGTGTTCATAAGTTGAATTGTTCTTAGTGGAGTTTACAAGCCAGTATTGTAATGACATTTTCTGTTAACTTCCTGTCAAATTAAAATAGTTCAGATTTTTTTCAAATTTTTGCAATAGAACCTTTGTTCAGAGGTTTGAATGCATTGCAAAGGGTTTAACAGATTCTGAAAAATGGATGACCTTCCAGATAAGATGACAATTGATCTTAAGACATTTAGAGACATGCTTAAATATTAAGTTCTGAAGAAATGTGTGGCAAAATGGAAACAAAAACAATTTCAGAAGTTTCTACTGAGCTGTTATCTATTTTGTGAAGATTTATTTGACATGATCTTTGAAGAAAACTGAACTCAAACAGTTTTATTTAATTCCACTTTCTTCTCACGGAGACTTAACCTGGTATCATTTCAAACGAAGTTACGAAAACTTCAGTGCAATGTTATTACACAACATGATTTATCAAATACCCTACTTAATACTGTAAAGATAAAGAAAGTTGTGGGAATTCTGCTGTGTAATCACATTTCTTGGAGAATAGTAAAGCCATTCCAACTCCCAATTTTTAACTGGCTTCGTCCAATCATCTGATGAGGTTTACTTGCAACTCAGCTGGGTTCGTGAGATTTAAGCCGTCCTTGAAACATCAAACGCACGCAAATTTTCAGTCATCAGTCACCGAATTTACGAAATGAGACAGAAATCACTCGACCGTGAAAATCAAAACACAAAGACGCCGGAACTCGTGACTCGCGTGGGACAAAATTCCAAACCGACCACAACAAAGTTAAGTATTTACTTTCAAAAAATCTGGCCAGCTATTGGCAAATACATCTGCGGTAACGTAATACTTTTGATATTCCACTGAGTGGGTGTAAAGTAGACGTAAAATTTAATGCAGAGGCCCGGAGAAAGAGCAGTTGCTGATGAGGATACACAAGCATTAATCGCACATTTTTTGGGCCACCAACTGACGATTGACAGTACTTCATCTCTACCACGGACTTCGTTCATTAAATGTACATTTAAACACATGTTTTACTTTACCATGGTCGATGTGAAATCGTCCGAGACACGCAGTTTGCTATGCCTGAACTTGTTCGCACCTTGCACAATAGGTTCAATAAACTCAATAGCTATTCAAATTCAAATTATACAGACAGAACAGTTGCCAACCAGATCTTAAGAAGCTGTACTATAGACCGATGTTCGATTAAGGAAAATTAATGATAGTCCTTACCTGTATGTGCTTCAACGCACTTCTCAAGATGTTTAAGTTAGATGTTTTCTTGTCTTCCAACGAGGGAACTTCTTTCTTCAAGATATCGAAGCATTCTTTCAAGTGCGCGCGCCTAGATGTGCAAATAAAATAATCAATTATAAATTCAACTTTCAGGTTGATTTTTCTCATCTCTAAGCTTAATTATATCGGTACTTTATGTATTATCTCGTCAGATCACGCAGAAACGAATTTCATTAGTAATAATCAGACATTCAGAGAGAAAATGATGCTTTCAGTAAGTATGAAAGAAAAACAGAAACAAAGTTCAACAGTTAAAGCTTCATAGCTCCGTGTACCAGGCGCAGACTAGTTAACAGAACGGCCATGATCTGAACAATATGCTTCGCGTGCGGATAGCCTAAAATCTGGTTTCCTCACAATCTTTTGAATCTAACTTGAGAAATCACTTGCCTGTTTTTCTCTAGTTTGTTGTGCGTTTCTCTTGTCCCGGCCCTGGAAGTGAAAACAGATTGTTAGAAAATCTTACCCAGCATAACAGACACAGCTACCGCCTTCTTCCAAAGCGGCGAGCATCTACATGCAAACTTACCCTCCAGGTCTTCGTCGTCTCTCAAGGGGCTCACATTCCGAAATTGCTCTTCTCCTTTCGGTGTGAACGGAGGGAGAGTGAACTAGAATGCATAAAGAGAGACCAAATACAATGTCATCGGAGAATTGTCGTGATCGCAGAAAGAATTTTAACACAGGCCTTCGCACCAACAGAATATTTGCACATGGCTACTCGACCGTACCACGTGCGATTGCCGAATCGTCCTTCGATGTTCCTCGAGCGGAGGATTCTACGAACTTGGCGGCTTCAAGCAACGTGTCCATAACGCGAACAAAAGAAACTAGACAATTTCCTCCAAGGATTTGTGGCAGCGCTATGCGTATACCTTCCCACTACCCGTCGATCAATCCATAAGCACTCTCAACTAATAACAACACGGTCGGAACAAAAGCGCTCAAAGTGCTGGAACGTAGAATTTATCGAGATGATTGACAGCTCAAACAGTTTGATCCAATCAGAAACTAGGGAATTAAAACCACGTGGCCACAACTTAGATCCATGTGGCTAAGCCTCGATCTCACATGTACACAAACACACCCATAAAATAATTAATTCTCCTTTCACCGACTCCCTGTGTCTATGAAAATCAGATTTTTAGTACATAAATTTGGATTAGCCACTCTTTGCGAGATGTTAATACAATAGTAACATGAAAACTCCAAAATCAAGAATCTTTCGTTAAGATGATCCGTTTTTTTCCTGCTTCTGACATGTTTGACCCGAAAACATCACGACAATACATTTTTCCACTTTTAGTTGCCGTGCATCAAAGAGAAGAGTACGGAAGCCGAAAAGGGACAATCCAAAAATATTTTTCAAATCCCGAAAAATATTTCAAATCGTAACATTTATTTTATACGGAAGCCGAAAAGGGACAATCCAAAAATATTTTTCAAATCTCGAAAAATATTTCAAATCGCAATATTTATTTTAAACTCACTGTCGAAAAGTTTGACAAATCCAAAGATATTTTGCAAATCCAAAAAAATATTTAGAAATCCAAAAAATTTTTTCAAAATCCGAACATATTTTGCGAATCCAAAAAAATATTTTGAAATCCAAAAAAATTTTTTCAAAATCCGAAAATATTTTGCTTTAGGTT